TTCAAACGACATAGCTCCATGCGATATATGTAATACCGTAAAAGAAATAGTTAGTAGCGTTTCTGTTGATACTGTCATGATTAAAACCTTGGGTGATGAAGATTTCAATCTTAAAGATTTTCTATTTCCATTCTCAAAAGTTAGGACGATCGAACAAGAAAAAACGGTAAATCTTAGTGCAGACCAAAATAATTTGCTACAAAAAATTTGTACTTACTTGTTTAAACTATCGGACGAAATACTAAAATCTGTAGCGATAGAACTAACTTATATCAAATCTTCTCCTGTGTTCTTACCCGAGTTTTCTCACACGGTTGAGAGAAGTGTAGATATTGATACAAAAACAGAATCCCGTTTATTTTATTTTACGCCGTGTAGCAATATTTGTCCTTGGGAAAGTTATCAAGGCTGAAAAATGAATAAACTAATATGCAAAACTAGACCAAGGTTTAATCATTGTGGAAGATTTATCATCTAGATTTTCCAGTTTTTGATTAGAATCCGATATAATCTTGTTTGCACCATAATATTTTTATATCACACAGAACATGGTGAATGAGAGTCTTTTACTAAGAAGTAGTTTGAGTGAAGTATTGAATTAAAAGTTCTTGGTTTTTTGATATTTGAATACGACAACATAGATTTTAACTTATCATTCATGAATAATGACGTTGCCAAAAATATACAAGATGCAAAAGAATTGATAAAAGAAGCAAAAGCCTTACTTTTGAAAGACAGTATCAATGCTCAAAATCCTAAAAAATTATCGGATGAAGAGATTGGAGATATAAATGAGCTGAAACTACTTGCATTTAACAATAAAGGCAAATATGTAGGTAATGTAGACCCACCCTTGTTGTTCTCTGTTTGTTCAAAAGAAAACGTCGTTGTTAACGTTGATTCTGACGGTGAAGTCCACGAACAAAATCGTTGCAGTAGCAATCTAGCCAGCAATATTGATTACCAACCTGATAATAAAATAAAAAATTTTATGATTCATAGAGAAAAAGATAAACAAATCTATCATGAACCCTTAAATCATGTAAAAAAATCTGACGCATCAGTTAAAGAATTCGTGATAAAGAAAAATAGCACTAGAAATATTGAAGAAAATGTCTCGAATAATGCACGTACAGCAAGGCATCCCAATGATCGTTCAAAAGAAATATATCATGAGAAAGAAGTTCCTAAGGTGAAAGTCCGTAAAATTCATCATAGAAGAAAATCGATTGAATCCAGTTCTAGTGAGTCTGTAGTATCGGAGGCATCAGACAGTGAATCCGAAGCTTCGTCAGTTGAATCTAAACATGACTATAATTCCGAAACAATACAAGAATTTAAAACTCAAGTATTGAGTCAGATGCCCCAACCCACCAGACTGAATAATTTTAAACAAAAGAGAATGACTACCGGTTTAAAAAATCTTCATTCAACTCTATCAAAAAATTCAATGCTTTCTTATTTAAATGAAAATGAATCTGCCCTAGATAATTTACAAAAACATGCCCAAAAAAAAAAATTAGTTCATGAAAAAGCTCGAATTGACAATAAAACTGAATTTAACCCTATTAGTAATGGGCAAAACGAATTAGGAAAACTTCATATTTTAATTGAACGATTAGTAAATGCATTGTCGACAGGAACTAAAATAAACGTTGGTTATGATTTGGACAAAGATTTCAACTTAGATGAAAATACTGCCCATCAGGAGAACAAAATTGAACCTCCTTTGTCGTTACAAGAAATTGTTGAGCAAGGTCAGTTACACAACTTCCAGTTAAAAGAAAATAAAAAAATGTACAATCACAAATTCACAAATAATGAAGTATTCATGCCTAGAAAGCGTAAGAGAAACTTGATAACAACTAACGAGCTCGCTTATTATTATTCGAACGTTAACCCGGAAGAACAATTAAGTATAATAGACCGAATATTATCTTGTAGGAAGTTGGAACAAACGTTAGAAACTCAAAAAAAATTAATTACCAATTTAGAAAATCATGTCACCATGCTACGAAAAAACGTTTTAAAGATTCCTGAGGGTTTATCACACGAAAGTTTTGTAAATCTTTTAGATCTCGATTCAGTCATACCCAATGACTATCTGGAACTTCCGCGTTGCACCGCATCATTTTATTCAAAATTACATATGAATCTATCTAACTTTACGAAAAGTAAACCAGATGACAAGAACACAAACAATAATCAAAGTGGCGGTAGACGTGATATTGCGTTTCCAAGTACAAAAAAAATGATGGAATCGAATAAGAAACCAAATAACACAGACGATAACAAGGTTAAAACGACATCTAATCAGATACAGCCAATCAAAGTACCGAATTTGAATTCTCCTGATCAACCTGTTGCAAAAACTTATGCTCCGGTTGAAAAAAAACTAACTCCAACCAAATTAAAGTCTACTAAGTCTCTGACTACCAATAAAGCCCCTTCTCCCTCTACACGCCCAGAAAAAAAAAGTATTCTATTAAACAGTGTAAAATTGAAAACACAGTCGAGAGCTCCAGAAAATGATGATGCAAAAGTTAATGAAATAGCAAAAAAAATTGATCCTGTAAAAAATAACACTGACCAAAGTCCAGTCTCGGGTGTCCAACCGAAGAAAGCAGAACTAAAAACAATCCTTTTGAAAACTACACAAAAAAACGAAACCACAACTCCCTTATTAAAAAAGAATCCTATATTCTTTAAAATTACTGCAAAAACTCAAGAACCTAGTTCTAAAACATCATTAAAACAGGAATCAGATCCAAAAGCTCATTCGGAAACAACTGCAAAAGCAGATTCTGGATTGAAAACTGTTAAGAAATTTCTCTTTAACATCAAGAAAACCAACGAACCGACGCTTCAAGATTTCACACCTAAACTTCAATCCGCTTTTTCACTGAAAAAAGTTGCATCAACGAACACAGAGGTGAAAACTCAAGCAAAAGAATCTCCATTGCAACCGAAGTTGTCAACAGGGTTATTAAAAAAACCCGCGAGTTCTGTAACTGATACTAAAGATGGCAGTAATACACCTACACCTCCCGAAAATACTGTACCGGGTCACAGCCTTGACGTTAAAGCTGTGCAGCCTGCAGCTACATTAGTTCAGCCTGAAGGTACTAAGAGCAATTTTCCGAGCTTTGATTCTACGTTGAATAAACTTGGCAGCAAATCCTTTGCCACGTCAAAATCGAGGGATCAAGAAACGGACGCACATAAAAGTAGCGGTCCTCAAAACATTTCAGATAATACAAAGACTTTAATTTTTAAAAAGGTTACACTCGAGAAAACACTTTCAACAAGTCAAAAGTCGGCTCTTAAAAAACCATTATCATTACTGACAAAAAAAACGGCCACGGCGTCTGCCAGTGCTGAAAATTCAACAAATTCGCCGCCGACTGTGCTTAAAAAATCTGTAATTAGTTTAAAACAAGTCAAAAGTTCAATAGACTCGACTATTAAAAAGTCTAAATCATTATTAAGAGACGTTGGCGCGTCTTCTACTGATGTAAAAGTCAGTACTATATCAAGTGTAACAGTGAAGGCAAAATCAACTTCATCAACTGAAACCAAGTCAGGGACTTTTTCAGAACCTGTTAAAAAATTGCCTGTCTCACTTACTAAATCGCAGTCTGTATCTTCTGCAGAAATAGTTAATAAAAATCTGGGCCAACATGCTCAATCCGAACCTGCTTCTGAGTCAGCTAAGAAACCATCTGCGTTGCTTGATAAGTCTAAAGCTGATTCTACTTCCAGGGTGATCAAGAAGTCGCCTTTGATGTTTGCCAAGACTAAATTAGGTTTATCCACCGCGACTGGAGCGGTTAAAAAAAACGCCGCTTTTGGTTAAAACGCTTACAACATGAGAAAAGCTGAAATTAACATTAGTTCTGCAATTTAAACATGCTTAAACCTGATAAAAACCATAAAAGAAAAAGTGTAATATATTTTATTTGGTAATGAAAAACACAAATTAAAATTCTAGTGACGAAAGGTTACTCATCGATAGATAGATAGATAAAAAAATTATCAGGACTCTGCAAATTGATATAGATACCACTGAGACGTTTTATTATTTAATCAACTATTTAATTGGTAGGTTGTAGCACAAAGCAAATTATCTTTAAGTCTTTATCCAATTAAACTTATTTTTTTAAATAAATATGTAAAAGTAGATCTGAACTTTCTAATTAACGATATCCACAAAAACTCAAATAGAAGCAATTTAAATACTACGTAATGTTATTTTTACCAAAAAAATTCATGATAAGTAGTTTTATTTTAAATAAGCATTTAAATCCACACTACATTAGTTTCACTAAAACAATAACCCATTAACATAACTGCTTTTTGAACATTAGTTAAATGAAATACAAAGTATGAAAATTTAGTTATTTTTTTGTTTGGCAGACAAAGCCAAACAGAACCTAGAAGTTGAACTCAACAAATTAAAATAGACAATGTTTGTTTTGAGATTAGGTTAGTTAAAAATGATTAAAATATTTGAAGTGAAGTTCGACACACTGTGTGTATTTTATACCAGATTAAAAATTATTTATTATAACAAGTCGAACAGTAATTCGTCAGCGTTAAAACTTTAATTCACTTTGAACGTTATTTAAATCAGATTCAGCCAAAATCATTTTAAATTAGTTTTCAAATACTTATGTAAATGAGTATACTATTTAGACTCATTTAGCATTAATGTCAACGGTTATTTATTGAAGTTTTTTTATACTTGAATGATATCGTTATGATCTAGGCAATTTTAATTTAGCGATAGTTATAATAGAATTTATAAATGTCGACTATCGGAACGCGATTTAAATAATATTTTTGTATTATATTTAAAAATTAATTTATGATGAAAAATAAAATTAATTTTGTTATTAAAATTTACAATTACGATATCGATCAATTAAATAGTGACGACGAAAAGCAAATTTTAAACGAACTAATTTACTAAATTATAATATTCAATAAGCTTTAAAATAATGCCAATATTAGCTCCATCAATTCTGGCAGCTGATTTTTCAAACCTGGAACGTGAAATAATTGAAGTGTGTGGCGACGCCGTAAATGTTCTTCATGTAGATATTATGGACGGTCATTTTGTGCCGAATATAACGTTTGGTCCAGACGTCGTAAAGGCCCTGAAAAAAAAGTTTTTTTGCAAGTATTTCGACTGTCATTTGATGGTGAGTGACCCTATGAAATGGGTGAAATCATTCGCTGAAGCAGGAGCTAACTGCATTACTTTTCACTACGAAGCTTGTAGCTCAGATAAAGAAATTAAAGAAATAATCAGCGCAATCGTTGATTTAAACGTTGATGTAGGGATAGCGATCAATCCAGACACTAGTTTAAGCAAAATAGAAAATTTGTTAAACGACAACAGAATTCATCATATTTTAGTGATGACTGTTAACCCCGGATTTGGAGGCCAAAAGTTTAACACCGAAGCGGTTAAAAAAGTTTCGGAAATAAAAAAAATTAACTACAAGATTTTGGTCGAAGTTGATGGCGGTGTAAATTTGCAAACAATTGAGTTAGCAATTGCGCACGGAGCTGATATCATAGTTGTAGGGAGTGCTTTGTTCAACGCAACCAATCGCAAAGCCACCCAGCTTGAATTTCTCAAGTTATTAGAAAAAGTAACATGCTAACAATAAAGAAACATGCAATTAGTGATTTTGCTTACTAAAACCTGGAGTATAGCTTAAATCATTATGCCAATGAGTAAACTAGTTAGACGCATTTTCAATCGTAATAAACTGAAAGCATCAACTCATCTTGATGACCATTATAATAATTTTTTAGACATCATCGCACCAATAATTTATGTCAAAAACTACGAAAAACTGCTTTTTTCCTACGCTTTCGACAACATAAATAACGAAATTATCTTTGAGTTTTTAACAGATCAGTTAACAGACGAAGCTGAACGATTAAAAGGCAGCGACGGGCTGCAAGATGACAGAGATCGCAAGCAAAACAACTTGTTTTCAAGAATTTTATTTTGGCGATTTATCATTTTGAAGAGCCAAGTATTCAGTGCAAACTTCCGCAATAAGTTTATGTTAAGTAAAACAGCGAACCAAGGTTTGACAGACGTCAAAATATTTTACGCGGTTTCTAAATATGCTGGTAATTACCACAGGCTGCAAATATGCCCAAAATTGAATTTATCAAAAAGTATGATTTACGTTCTCTGCAATAAAATGCGAATGGAACTGCGCATTGATCATGTATTTTGCGATAAACTTTTGGAAATTTGGGAAGACGAAATCAACATTTGTTTTAACTACGAGGACGACATTATTGTTGACTTGCAAACATGGTTTTACTCCAACCCACCGGAAACCACGATTTTCACGGTGAAGTTGTTTGTTATTAAACACATCATATACCAAATCGTGTTAGCGCTACACTATTTACACCAAAACGGGATATGTTACAGAAATTTAAATCTTCGCACGTGCGGAATTACTCGCTTCGTAAAAATAATGTTTAAAAATTGCGAAGTGAACGTCCCTGTAATAAAACTGACTGACTTCGCTTTTGCTAGTACTCTCGACAAGGAAACTTTTGTAATTTACGGTATCTCAAATGAACTTCCGTTTCGAGCTCCCAGAATGCTGACCGGTGCTTACGCTTTGGAAGTAGATGTTTGGTCTATCGGGGTTGTTGCTTACACGTTGCTTACTGGGACTCTGCCATTCACTGGAAGTGAAGATCAAATCATCAAATCAATAACAGGTTTCACTCGGCTTGACATGTTGAAACTGATTAAATTCGATTCAGTGACGAAAAATTTTATTCAAACTTTGTTCGTTAGTAAGCTGAGAGAAAAAAATTTTTTGAAACATCTCTTGAAATCTGAATGGTTTATAGACATCAACATACTCGATCTATTAGGTATTACTATGTCCAAAGAAGATTTTATTTCGCAACATTTAGAAAAAATTAAACTTCGTTTATTGAAGGTTGCAGACTACTCACTGTTCGCAATAATTTGTAGAATACTTTTAATTAAGAGACTTCCAACAAGGTCTATAGACCCGATGATCGTAAACTTGTTTCATATACTCGAAAAAGATAACAGCAGTTACATTGAACTGAATGAATTGGAAATATTTGATCGTTACATATGTCAAGACCAAAAAGAATTAATAAAATGCGCACTGAGACATTTAAATGTTTTTGAAACTGATTTGATTCCACGGTTCGTGTTTTTCGCGTTGATGTTAGATATTACCGAAATCGACGAGATTCACTTAAAAGAGTTGTTTGTAATTCTAGATATTTATAGGATAGGATACCTGAACGTTACGTTGTTTGATCAAATGTATGAAGCGGCGAACGAAATAAGCTTCATTAAAAATATGATGAAAGATATCCAGAAGCCAATCGACTATGTGGCGTTCAAAAAAATGCTTCGGTGACAATTTTGACTACATTGGTAAAAATAGAAGCGGGACGCTACACACATACTACTATATTTTATTTTCAAAAAAAATTATAACTAATAAAGATTTGCAGATTAAGTTATTAAGAAAAAACACATGGTTACGTCTCAAGCGCCTGACTCCGTAAAAACGTTGTTGCAAAAGCACATCAATTCGATTCCTGGTCCTAAAGGCGATCTTACAAACGAGCCGTACGTGTATCCAATGCTAAACCGGTGTGATGCGATAGCAATGTTTTATTACGACGGTTCTCTGTTGTATGCGTGGAGCCAAGACAATTTAAACTTGTTTTACTGGCACGCCGATTTCGACGAAACCACCCAGAAAAGTCAGACTTCGTATGAGTATGTTCAATCTGATGGCACAGCCTTGTCGGTGGAAAGTGAGTCTAAAGTGGTGGAAAACTTTATTGCTAAAAATGTTAACTATCTATTTTTTAATGGATGTAAGTTTCACTTGACGAAAAGAGACGTCTGGGACGACGGAATCGTGTATACAGTGCTTGGAGGATCAGATGGCAGAGGTCTACTCACGGCTATTTCTCCGGACGGATACTACATGGTGGTTGTTGCTGCGTCGACGTACGCCTACCCCACCGAGCATTTTCTCGGAATCGACTCTGGAAGACCCCAAGGGTTGACAAAACGCGAGCTGCGAGAGTTACACGCTGAGTTCAGCGTTTTCGCGCCTTTAGCGTTAGGAATTTAAGTGTTTTTCGCTCGGATCTCTGCGTTTGAATTAATTAGAGCAGCCAGGGTGAACAGTATCATTTTATTGTTCGGCATTAAGTATAGTTCTGACTGAATTTTGGCTAACTTTGGAAGAATATTTTTGTAAATGGAATCGTCCAAGTTTTGATTGAGTAAATGTTTGTGCAGCACGTGAATAAAATTCTTTATATCGAACTTCATTTTGTCGGAAAGCTGTGATAAGTATTCGGTAGCTTCTCTCAAAGAAAGAGAGCATATATGTCTTATAATGTCTGGAAGAAGCGCGCTATCTACGTAGTTAAAGTATTCACAAACGTCTGATTTTGTGACTTGTCCGGCAGCATGCAACCCGCATTGTTGCAGCGAATTGATTAAAAACCGCAAATCTTTATTGCATAATTCTACCAATAAATCCATAGCTCCTTCTTCTACGTTGAGTCTTTTTTTTTCAATCACTCGCGATATACAGTGCTTGATTTGGTTTGTGCTTATAGGGCGAAAACGAAAATTGCAACACCGGCTCCGTACGGGAATGTTGATCTTACTGATATTGTTACAAATGAGAATAAACCGAACATTCGCCGAGTATACTTCTAGAATCCTACGAAGCGCTGTTTGAGCCGTTGCTGTCATATAGTCACATTCGTCTAACATTACAAATTTCAGTTTCTTCAAATCATCGTGAACCACGATGTTAGCAGATTTTGCACTATTAACTGGGTTTGTGTCTGGTGACTCTCTGTGTTTGTTGAAAAAATCGTGGAAGGTAGACTCTGCAAAAATCTTGATTCTGCTTCTCGTTATGTCGATACCGCGATCGTCGGAAGCGTTCAGCTCTAAGATGTTTGAATTCTTAATATCTTTGTGAATCAAAGTGCAAATAGTGTGAGCCAGTGACGTTTTACCACACCCCTGAGGCCCGTAAAAGAGCAAATGCGGCAGATTGCCTTTTTCTAAAAAACCTTTCACTAGCAAAAAAGTATTGTTGGTTTTACTTACCACAATTTATTATGTATTCGTTTCCAATGATATCATGCAGATTTTTAGGCCTGAATAATTCAACCTAGGAATACCTTTTTTCTCGACTTACCCAGGAATGATTTTCTTCACTCATTTCAACCCTGAATCACAACATAAGTTATTACATCCAAAAATATTGGGAAACTAATTTGCGTTAGAGAGATTTTTTCGTTTAGATATTTAAATTGCATATTTGATTATTATTTTCAAAATAAATCCAATATTTCAAACCGCACGGTCTATTTATTGTTGCAAAAGAGTTTGCCCATGTCTGAAAGTGTAGTCGAATTTGTAAATGGAATCATTGGAAAAGAGGTGGAAATAAAGATGTACAAGGGGGGACAGCTTACGGGTAAGTCAAACGGATAGCATGTAATATCTACAGGAATCATAAACGCGTTAGACTCTAGACTGAACGTTGTGCTTCAAAACGTTCAAGAGATCGACGAAAATGGGTACGAAATAAGCTATAACGAACTTTTCGTGCGCGGAAACCATAGTAAGTGTTTGTGTTGATAATTTTTAGTCGTGTATATTTCCACTAAGTAGCTGGTTAATCAGAAGCTAAATCTTGGACAAGAGACATGTATTCTTCTTCATCGTGTATAACTGTTTGATTTAATAAAAATTGCCTAATTTCTTGGTTTTGTATTTCGTTGGTTTTTGATGGACTAATGGAATTGCCGTCGTACGTGGTACATTCGGCATAATCTGGAGGAGTGAACAAGTCTTTGCTCAAAAAAATTTTTTTATTTTTGACCAGGAGTTCTTCTTGCGAAATAGTGGAAATCATTCTGGGACCAGCCCTGGCTCTGCTGTGGTTCCAAATAATATCAACTGTGCTACCTATGTTGCTTAAAGAATCGTCTAAGTTAACTTTTGAGGAAGTGAATTTAATTTCTTCCAGTATAACATTGTCATTCTGAGCATTATTGTCAACTGCTCGTTTTTTCATCTGGAAACTTGTTTTGACTTCATTTTCTACGTCACTTAAATTAGTTAGAGAAATGTCGTCCGAATCTGAACAGTCGTTGTTGTCTGACCTTGGACTAAAATCTAACACGCTGGAACGGTTTGATGTTGCTATTTCTAACAGGTGCAAAACGTGAGAATTTTTTAGTCTTTTCTCGATACTTGGCCACATTCTTATATTTTCGTTTTCGAGATAAGAAAAATGAACCCAGTTGGACAAAGACTCCAAGTTAGAAGCGTAATGGTAACGCTTATCGATTAGAAAAACCGCTCCAAAGTCATTTGAATGACGAATGACACGCCCAATCGCTTGGTTTACCGCGTTAAACGTAACTGTTCTAAGCCAATCTGAATGGTTAATGCGTTTGCCGTGGTAATATATTGGATTGGACTTAAGCTCGGCTTGCTTCAGTTGTATTCGTAAATCAGTTAACAAAGGAAACGGAATACCCACACATATGACGCATCTGGCTAAATGATCCGGTAAAGAAAACCCTTCACTCAACTTTCCGCGAAAAGCAGCGAAAAAAATCGAACCTTTGCCTTTGGAATAAATGTACCCAGCAATAGTTGTGGCATTAATCTCTTCGCTGACGATGTCGTTAGCTGCGTTCGTGTAATACACGTATTGCTGGATAAGCTGATCCATTGACACGTTTTTCATGCCTTCGATGAAAATATTGAACATATTATTAAGCTGGTCGTACACGCCAGTTTTCTTCCAAATAGCAATCATATCTGTAATTTTTTTGTAAGAGGGGAAAAAAACCAATATACCCTGATTTTTGAAATGTTTGACGATTTCTAATATCGACAAGCCTACTTCGTTGACTATTTCTTTATCTTGCGACTTGGCGTAAGTGAGCTCGATCTCCACTTTGGACGGTCCTTCAGAAACTACTGCTACAAAAACCTGGCATGAATCAATGACGTGATCATTTTCTAAAGTGTAGAATTTGCATTCGTCTTTAGAGAGCTGTGCGGCTAAACAATCCAAAGGTTTTAACGTCCCACTTGTAATAATGACAGACTGTGCCTTGGAGAACAATTCACTCATAGCGATAGACGCTTCAAAGGTAAACACGTGAACTGATCTAATTATAACATTCGAATTTCCAGGTTCGTAATCTTCTCGAACAACGATTTTTGAGCGAGACGTGCTGCTGCGCAACGAAGCATTATTTAATAAGTCTAGAAATGAAATAAGATTTGTCAGGCGGAAGTTGTAGTAAGAGAGTTCTTGCACTTGCTCATCCTGCGCAAGTTTAGAATATGAGCAAGAGTCGAAATATGTAGAAAGTTGGCTTAAACTGTTGAGCAACCTCTCAACTTCGCTGGCGTCAAAAATTTGAATAAATTCGCTGCTTTTGAATTCATGATATTTCAATTTTTTATTCTCAGGACACGCATTACGTAATTCCAGATTGTTGACAAATTTGAGCACTTTGTCTAAGAACCGATATCCCTTTTTACTAAGAAAATCTCGCACGTCGAGAGGCAAAGGGGTGTTAGCTAAACTATTGTATGCACTGTCCGGACCGTAATTGTCAATGTTCTCTATCAGGTCTCGGATAATTGTAATGTCTGCAATATTCGTGTTGAGAGAAAGAGCTTCTTCTGAAAAAGATTCAATGTTGTGCGCTTCATCAATGATTATGATATCGTTCTCAAAATTAATACCGAGCTTATTTCGAAGCGAAGGGGTGATTAAATAGTTGTAGGGCAGTAAGATGAAGTTGGCTTTGTTTTGTGTGTCTCTAGTAGCATAAAAAGGACAAAAAACTTTGTAGTCATCTGTTCTTTTGCGTGCTACAATTTTTAAACTTTCAGTCATGTACGGTTCGCCGGACCAGATATCGCTTTTGTACAATTTGGAGTTGCAGCCTAAGTGGTAACGGCATTTTTTAGTACGAACTAGTTGTTTACACGAATGTTCTAGCGTGGAACCGTTTTGAGAATTAACGTTTGAATTGATACAGTAGAAGTCTCTACTAGCTAAAGTGATAAATTTCATATTAGTTAAAAAACCGGATTTGTAATATGTACTATTCTTGATTTCTTTAACAACTTGATTAAGTTGTGAATGAGTTCTGCTACTATAAAAAATTCTAGGCATCTTCTTTTTTTGGCTTTTTAAGTTTTTTTTGGAGTTGTTCGATAACAACTCCTCTGCCAGTTCTTCTATTTGAATGTCTAAATCATTTGATGAATCGTTGTCTTGAGAACTATCGCATCCATTTTCCGATAGATACTGTAAATATGCAAAAACTGTCGACAAGAGACACATGGTCTTTCCTGTGCCAGTAGGGGATTCAAGCAAAGCATGACCGTTAGCGTCTAGAGTTTCAGCGAGCGTTTTTACAAAGTTTATCTGACATGAATAAGGTTCAAAAGGAAATAAAACGTCGAAATGATGTGTTTTGATTTGATGAAATTTGGATTCAACCATCTATATGAAATTTACTTAAACACATTTTATGTTCTTAAGGGGTTCAGAAGTTTGGAATTTATTTTTAAAATGAATTTTTATTATTATTAAAAAATTTGAAAATAGTCTAGGGTTTCGAGTCAATCACAGTTTAATTTATGTTTCCAAATTGATTAACAAGACTGTTTTTTTTTACGAATTCTTCGTTTGTAACTTTTTTGTTTAACATTTTTATGATAAAATAAATACCCACAAACAATCGAAGATATTGCTAAAAACATGATTTGAAAATGTGTTTTAGTGTCTGATTTGACTGTCTGAAATAAATTACCAACAGCCATGTCCAAGACTTTGGGAATAATCCTCACCTTATTATGCTCAAGTACTGGGGAGTAGTCTTTGACTATGTAAAAACATTTATTACCGCCATGTGAACAGTCAGTTTCAACTAAATAGAATAATGGTTTAGGTAGTGGAGTTTTTAAAAATTTGTATATTAAATTAGTAATAATTTCTTCTGTGTTATCATTGGGGAAAGACATTGAATATTAAAAATATTCGAGCATCATTAATAATAAAAATAATTATTTTTAAATAATAAATTGTGCAATGAGCGAAAGCAGTCAGTTTGGAGAAAACACAAAAATACACGAAGGTGTTTTTAAAATACTTTTGAATGAAGGAGATGGCAATACGTAGGTTTTTGATGGACAGATTTTTTTTCTAGTCCAGTTGCTAAAAACAAGGTTTTCTTGAACTACAAAGGGTTTCTTATCGATGGAACCGTCTTTGATAGCAACGAGGGTCGTGGTGCCCCATTCAGTTTTATTTTAGAAGCAGGCCAAGTTATCAAGGGATTTGACATCGCGGTAGCTTCAATGAAAGTGGGCGAGAAGTCTAAGTTTTTAATCAAAAGCGAATACGCTTACGGCGCCAATTCCCCATCGCCCAGCATTCCGAGTAATTCAGATTTGATATTTGAGTTAGAGCTGCTTGAAATCGATAACAAAAAAGATAAAAACGAGTTGACAATTACCGAAAAACTAGCAGCAGCTGATCAAGCTAAATCAGACGGATCGTTTTTTTTCAAAGAAGGAAAAATAGCCAAAGCGATATCTGAATATAAATATGGATGCGATCTAGTTGCAGATTACCAGGATTGGTCAGACGAGTTTCAAGACGAAGCGCAAACTTTATTTATTTCGCTGAGTCTGAACTTAGCGTTAGCGTTGATAAAAAACCAGGAATACCTAGAAGCTTGTAGCCAAGCTATGAATGTGTTGGCGCTCGATAAACATAACTTTAAAGCCATTTATCGCTTTGGATTAGCCAAGTTGCACTTAGGCGACGCCCAAACTGCGATAGATCTACTTCAAAAAACGTTCGGTCAGAACATACCGGCCGAACTAGCTGACGTTTACAACAAGTTAGCGCAGGCTAAAGCGAATGCCGAGGAAAAAACAAAGAATTTGTATTCAAAAATGATGGCCGCTTTTAAATAAGGTGAACGCCTATTACAAATTTATAAATGTATTTATTTTTTTGATAACCAAATATATCCTTGGCTCTTTGGACAAACGCAAAAAGTCTTGTTGAAAAGACCTTTTTGCTCGATTTGAATGTTATCCGTCCATGCAATGAGTTCGTATTTAGGAGAGATGTCGAGCTCGTCGTCGCTCTCTACTCTTATCTTTATAGTCGACTTGCTTACCTGCAAAATAACTAAGTTTTGGTAGTTCATACGTATTAAATCTTGCGTATTTATGTTTGCTACAAAGGGCAGTTTCAGATCATCAGATGGGGTCTCCGCAGTTAATTTGCAGATAAACTTATTAACATATCTAGCTGGATAGTTGACAGAGCAAACGACTTGTTGAATTAAATTGTCGTTTGTTGTTATTGATATGTATTTGATGTTAGATACTAAGTAAAAAACGCCGCCCAACATTGTAGGCGCAATCAAAATGAATTTTTGGGAAATCGGGTCTGCTAACGCAAATTTCAACGTTGTGTTGGGGACTGTACTTTTGTAAGTAGTGCACGAGTTGTTTGTAACCTTATTGACTTTGTGGTTAGTCGTTACTAAAGTGATTTCACTATGCGTGTGAATGTTTCTGTTTGCTGCCTTTAAGAATATTGTTACCACATCTTGCTCAATGACGACATGCGGATATTCAAAAGGCCGATCTGGATTCCGTGACTCCATAATCATTTTAAACACTTCTTCGTGAGGGAATTTAGTCAAATCGTTACTTTTCTCTTTGCTAAACTTACTTATAAGCTCTGTGAAAGTATTATCGTCCTGATTTTTGAAATCATTTAAGTTGAAATTCGTATTTTCATTTTTTTGTTTTATAATATTTTCATTTTCATTTAACTTCTCTGACTTAATTTCGTCGTCCTGAAAATTTTCTTCCAGCTGGTTTTGCTCTAAACTGTTTGAGTCTATGTTTTTATCGAAACACATTGTTACAAAACCATCTGAAGGTTTCATGCGATTTTGTAAGTTGTCGTACTTAAGGCAATTTGAAGATAGTTCGTAGTTACCATTTGTGGAGATTCTGCAATTGGTTTCATTCTTTTCGTTTGAACTGTTTTCGAGCTCAATCGATTCGATATTTACATCGTTATCTGAAATCTGAAAAGCAACAGCACCGTCTTTTTCTTTCAATTCAAAATTTCGCATTTGCTTTAATAAATCGTCCTCCAGACGAAAAATAAAATTAAAGTGCTATAAAAAGCTGTTATTTTGATTTATAGTTAAATTATATAATAAACTTTTTGTGTGAAAAATCAATTAACCTAAATATAAATTTTAATAATTTTAATCTGTGAAGTTATGACCAAGACAAACGCGCCAACACTGCCATTCGAGCTTACTGCTCTGGAACCATGCATGACCAAGAAGCAACTTGATCTGCATTTTAACAAGCATCACATGGGATACTACAAAAAGTTCTGCGAACTAACCAAAAACGACCCTGATGCCAAAGTCGAAGAAATCATAAAAAAAAACATTGCGGGTAAACTCTACAACAACACAGCGCAACTTTACAATCATCAGTTTTTCTGGCGCTGTCTGATTAACAATAGTAAAAAATTTTCAAACGAGCCAAGTGGCGAATTGAAAGCGTTGATTGAAACCAGTTTCAAAAGCTTCGACGCTTTCCAAGCCGAGTTCGAAGCCACTTCTATTGGTCACTTCGGATCAGGATGGGTTTGGCTTGTTTACAACACTAGTACGAAACTTCTCGAACTATTCCAGGGCCACGACGCTCAATGTCCTTTATCTGATCAAAATTTGTTACCGCTTTTAGCTTGCGATTTATGGGAACACGCTTACTACGTAGATTACGAAAACCGACGGGACAACTACCTGTCTATCTTTTGGAAACTTGTCAACTGGAACTTCGTTGAAAACATGCTTAAACACAAACGCTTCGACTATAACAATCCTGACCAATTTTATTAATGTATCTTTTCTTATATGTTCAAGTTTATATTAAATAACATATAGCTTGGTGATTATTTTGTCTAAGTGTTTTAATTTGTTTGATGAAATCAAACTCATATGGTTAAAAAATGTATCAAAAGTTTGTGTTGCTTCCAACCATTATTGTCATCCTTGCGCAGGGGCAATGCTAATCTTCTCTGTATTTTTCCAATTTTAATTGGTGCCTCCCGGAGGAGGCAACCATCAAGAAACTCAAAATTACCGAAGATTGGAATCCTAAAATTTACTAAAAACCGTTCTCACGGGTAACAAATATTTTTTCAATAATATCTTTTTATTTTGGTAAAAAGAAAAAAAAATTAGACTTAAAAGATAAGGCAGAATTTAGCCAATAATATATGTAAAATAAAACTTCTTCTTTTGAACTTTGGTTAATTTTAAAGTCTAATGAGCAACATGGAAACTGTTTTACAAGAAGCTGTCAGTGCTTTAACACAATACTACACAAAAAAACGGGAACACAAATTAGACGGCGCTTCTTCCACGCCGATAGTAAGACTTAAATTTACTCCGATGAAGTGTGTCCCTGAAAATCACTTCGAAACTCATTTTCTGACTATGCCTAATGTTTTATATGACAAAGTGAATTTATGTTTGATAACCAAAACACCTTGCGACAAATGGCAAAACATTGGAGAAGCCTTAAAAGACTTACCAATCTCTTTTGTTAAAGTGATTGATTTATCTATTTTGAAGTCAACTTACAAAGATCCAACAAACAGAGATTTGCTCATAAGTTCATTTGATTTATTCATTGCCGACAGAGCTATCATCAGTTCTATCCCCTCTATTTTGGGTGGAAAACTTTTGAAAGCTGGCAAAATACCATTTGGAATGAAATTTGTCAACATAGAAAAAATTAAGCAGGAAATCAAGAGAATTTTATACACAAGTAAAGTGATTCTCAACCGATCTGTCAGTTTTAAAGTTCGTATTGGATTAATAAATCAACCTATCGACGATTTAGTCGAAAATGGATTAGTAGCTATTAAAAACATGAAAGAAATTCTTGCTGCTCATGACACTGAAATTTTCCAAGTAGCAATTCAATACTCCGGAGAATCACCCTTAATTATCATGCAAAAACCTAAAATAGTACTACCAGAAGAGCAAAATTTAGTAGAGGTTTCTATTGAAGAAAACAAAATCATAACGGCTGAATAAATAATTTTCCGCTCGACACGCATTTGTATTTAAATCCTATTAGGTTCGTGTATTTTGACTGCCCACAATTTTCTTTGCAATAATCTTACAATGCCTTGTTCTTCTATATCTTTTTTTGAAATCCAAAAATCTTGGACACCGTTGAAACCTAGGTTATTGAGGATTTCCAGTCCAATTAACGCACTTTCGTTGCTGTTTGTTTCCAGTTCAATGTTTGAGCGTATAAAATATTCATTTTTTTTCGCGTTGAGAGCTTCCAAAAAGCCGGTAATGTTCGTGATGCCTCCAGTACACAGTATGTGGCTTTGTAAAATCGATCGTTCGTCTATATCAAATCTTTTTAAATTATTATGAATTGTCGACAATAAATTATCTTCTTGATCTTCGAAAAGCATGTTGAAGACAGTATGTCTGACTTCGTCAAGACAAAGCACATTGTGGTCAGGCAAGATTAAATCTGTATAAACAAAATCGTTGAAGGTGCCAACTTGACGCTCATTATTGTCTTGATTATAATCGATGTAACAATATTTTTTGAAACAGTAATCAGATATAGTATCTTTGAGGTTATCTTCAAATAGAATGTTATGGCGATCGTACAAATGATTTTGAAATTTTTGAAACAAAGATTGATAGCCAAATCTTGAATTCTGTGAAAGTGCGTAAGTCTGCGTAATATTTTCGAGCACAGACATAATTGAGCACGTATTTTTGTCGATATTCAAAACTGTGCTGCTTGTGAGGCCTCTTGAAACGATCTGAGCTAACGCTGAATGAACTAATAAAATATTTTCCACGTCGTGATTGTAGAGCTCTAAAACAAATTGATTAATATTTGACTCTGTCGCGGATACCAACAAAGAAACGTCTTTTATATTAATTTCTCCGTTCAATTTCTGACTTAGATGATCACAACGCGAATCAATGCTCAATTCTTCGGTGTATTTTATTATTCTACTGGAGTTTACATTTGAAATAGTAGCACAATAATCTTTTAAAATTTCAAATGCCTTATCACCATAATAACGAATATTCTCTATATCCACTGAAATATTTCTTTCTGCTTTTGTTGACTCTATGTTTGATTTTGTACGTAAGTAAAATCTTCCCGGATCTATTAAAAACATGAATTATTTTAATTCTTTCTATTTTTTATTTTCTTTACCTACTATTTAGGGTCGAGCAATCTATAAGCTGTATGCCTGATTTTCGTATATACTATACAACTGAAATAAAAGAGAATCTGAAAAATCTAGGAACGAGCTTACCTGAATATTATTATTTGTCGATCATCTGCGACCACTTAACGTGGGAACAAATTAAAAAAAATATTCCGCACAAAAAACCTTATTTATGTTCTCTGAGATTTCAATGTAACAATTATACTTATTGGATTGATGAACCACTAATAAAAGACTTACCAGATCAACCTTCTAATACATACTACATTAAAATCTCATTTTTAAAAAGTTTGTTGCTCACCACTGATCCTGTTTGTATTGAAAAAAAAGAAAATGAGAGTATTAATTTAATAAACGAATTATTCCAAAATATTTAATAATTAAGCTATAGTTGGTTTGTACAAAACTAACGATAAAACTACAGAATTGATACTATTATTCAGATGAATGTATCTAACGTTGGTCATGATTTGCGGTGGCTTGACAATCAAGAATGGCTAGTTACTGAAAAACATGATTTATTTTATATTTTGAATATAATCAAACTATATACATTTAATCCTTCGTCACATAATGCTGACTCACTAATAATCAAAAAAATATTTAACTATTTTGTGATTGCATTCATTGAGTACAAAGAAGTAGATGAAACTAAGCTACAGATACTCGACGCTTTGTTAGAATTATCTTATTATTTTCACGCTCACAATGTTGTCTTGGACCTCATTTGCCCCGAAAAACTGTTGAGTCAAATAATTCCATTTTATAACAAATTTGTTTCAACAGCAAAATTAGGCTTGGAACTTAATTTTAAAACTTATGCCAACAACTTAATCAAGCTGTTTTCTTCTTTTCGACACTTGAACGTAAATTTGTGTAATGAGGAATGTGTAAAGCTTGTGATCGACAACGTTGATCAAACTGTCGTTCAAAATCCGGAAGCATATAAAATAATTAAATTTCTGACGAGCTTTTGGAGTCACGAGTGCTGCTTTGAAGCCGTACAAAATGAGAGTTTTTTTGCATTATGCCGAAATATTCCCGTTCAGTATTATAAATGGAACTTGGTAATACTAAAAATAGTGCTGAACGCTCATGTATTTCTTTACAAAAACAAAGATAAATCTCGTTCCAAAGTTGAAGATCTATTTTCTTTTGAAAGCTACATGAGATTATTCGATTGGATTTTAATGAACGATGTTCGATTAAAAGAAGGTGAAATTCGCCTCCTTGCAAAGTTTACTTATTATGTTTTTAGCACAGAAGAAAAAAACAAGTTTTGTTCGATCTTAGCTTATTACATTAACCCAAAAAATCAAAATTCTTTGTCTAAACAAGAACTATGTGCGCAGCTCACAAAATTTTATTGCTTTTACAATTTTACCGAGTGTCATAAAGTTCAGAAAACGAAAAAGAAGTTCGTTATTCAATCTCTAGATTCAGAAAAATTTGCATTTTATAGCTCAGTTGTTCAATTGGGATTTTTAGGTCTACAACACAAATCAATTATTGTTTTTTTGCATTTTACAAAGGTAATTGCCGCGTTAGCTGCACTAAATCCGTACGACATTATTTATCGGGTAAAACAACTTTATGAAGATACATCAAACAATGATTTTTCTTTGTATTCTGAAGAAGCTGCGATCACGATAGTGGATAGCATCATCGACTACATTATCATATATGACGTCGATTTTTTACGTACTATCATTGTGGATATTAGTCAGTACTTACGCAAGTGCAAAGCACTTGAAGCTGTTGTTAAACTTCTTGGCAGTATCTCGCGGAGCGTTCCTTTATACGCGTATGTAGAAAAACACAACGATGATTCTGTTGTGAATGCTGTTCGTAAAGCATGGCTAGAAAAATTTTACGATGAGTTTGGAATATCCATTAAAACTAATGCCAACGACCGTTTTGATTCTGATATAGAAGCCGAATTTAAAAAAAGAATCAGCTTGGCAATGGATAAATCAAACTTTGTCTATGAACCCCTATTAGGCATTGTTAGTATAGAAAAAGAAAATTGGTCTCAAAACACTCTAATGCAGCGATGCGAATTTCATTCAGAACTGAAATTTTTCAACAGAGATCTGTATAAGTCATTGCTAAACGCGATTTACGCCGGTGCAATTTCAGACGGTACAAAAAATATGAGAAACATAAATTATTTCGTATCAAATTTGTTCCAAAATAGCGATATGAATGATTTGATTTATTATGAAGAAACACTGTTTGACTTTCTTTTAAATAAATCTAGCACTTTTGACAAAAATTCAAAGACAAATAAATATTTGACTCTGTTTATCAGTTGTTTAGTGCCTGTTCACATTAAAGTTTTATTTACGTTGCAAACCGCAATTTTAACTGTTATGAATAAAAAAAAAATTGACGCTACTTTCCAATCCTCTAAGCTAGCTTTTTTATTAAAGCTATACTGTAAATGCGTGACATTTTCAAATAACGAATCACTTTACAACTCATTTGCAAAAGTGGAAGCATTCATTAAAGATTTGTTATTCAAGCTTTGCAATAACGAGTATCTTTACGTTCAAGTACTTAAAATAGTGTCCGCATTTGCTTTTGCGTTGTGTCAATTAAATATTTCTAAAGCTAGCAGTTTAGCCACAAAAAAAATAAGTCCTTTCATATGGACATATCGAGCAGCCGAAACAATAAACATTTTAAAAAATTGGCCTGAAATTGAACAATCAAATAAAAATACGTTGAATCTCCAACAATTACAAAACGGAAAGTTTTTAGCTTTAAGATATTTTACAAGCATGATTTCTGCTCTTAATAATACAACTATGAACGATTTTGCCAAAGAGTTGGAAAGTGTTTCACAGTATTACATAAATAATTTGAATATTGTAGACAAAAGTGAGATTAGTGCTGGTGTATTTGTCAATCTAAATCGAAATACAGAGTTTAAGGCAAAAGTATTAAACTATTGTGGCTTGATATGCAGTTCCTTGTTTTCAGAATATGGATGTGCCAATTGTCAAAAAAAAATTAGTTGTGCTTTGAAATCTAATCTTGATAAAACTGAAATAATAGGAAAACAGTGCGAGGTGTGTGAACTCAACTCAATATTTAAAAAAAAATTTGTATGTTACGTTAATGTTTTCCTAGAAAGTATTTACAGTAACAAGGAAAATAAGGCAAATTCAAAAAGTATTATTAGTAACAATGCTTATAAGCAATTAAACATACTGGTGCATCGATTAACAACTAATAATCAAAACAATATATTTTATAATCTGATTTGCTTGTTTTATATTGAGATCTCCAATTTAGCATTGGACTATTCTCCTTTACAAATAAAAAACAATTTTTTTCATGCTTTCGAGAATTCTGTGACAAAAATTGAATACGCTAATTTCGAGCATCTCTATTTACAGCATTTTAATAAAGTTTGGACCGATGTGACTTGCTGTTTGGCAAAAATAAATGAAACGACTACATTATGTAATACTGATCTTTCTAACACTTCAGAAACGTATGCTAAAATGTTTGAAACATATTTGTTAAATAGTGAGATTTTTTTGAAACAGAAAATAAAACTAGGACAGCCAAGTTACTCAGAAATGATCTTCTTTGTGTTTTATTATTTTTTAACGACTGATGCGTTTTGCTGTATTATAAATAAATATGCTAAGACTGACTTTCAAAAAATAGGTGAAGCACAAATACTAACAAAATTGAGGATATGTTTGAAAGGTGTAACAAACGTAATTTTACGTTGTAGGCCTTGCTATTTTGGCAACGGTTTTAGAAATAATTGCAAGGAAGATGTATTGAAATTAGAAACTACTCTTGTGAATTTGATTCTAGCCTTAAATGATAGCAGGTTGTTTTCTGCTAACAGCTTTGACGTGATATGTGCTACTTTTAGTTTTTCATTTTACAAATATGGTATTTGTATAAGAGATATCGATAATGTAAAAAGACTTTTCACAGTTGCGTGCACTTGTGAAAATAATCTTTACGCGACTTTTGTTGCATTAGTGGCGTTTTCTGGAATTCAAGTTATGGACTTCAACGATTTAACGTTTATCTTTGACAATATTGACGCAATAAAGCAAACCAATGTAAAAGTAATCTGCTTAATACTGTTTTCAATATTATTGGAAAAGGGTATTCATACCAACTCAAAGATAACTTGGGTTAAAAAAAGCCACATTGAGCAGTATGTGTCATATTTTAAAGTCATTCTTACCGTTACAAAGTCCTCCACTATTGTAAAGAAATCTGTAGAAAAGTTATTCTTCTCAATTTTTAACTACAAAAAAGAACATTTCGAGCTAAACTGCAATGGCTATCCAGTTGTATTAGCACATAGTTTGTGCACAGTAATTTGTTATTCTTTGCATGAATTTAATTCAAAACCATCTAAGTTAGAGTCATACCTAGAACCACAACCAGATATGGATGTTTATGACGAAGAAAAAGAATTTATCTATCTATGTTGTAATTTCGCAATACTGTTGGCGTACTTCTTAAACATATTACATTTCGGAACTTATAATGAAGTGACCAAAGAGAAAATAGACGTACTATTTTTAAGTTTTTGTAGTGAGCTTCGAAAACAAATCTATAGTTTGCGGGTTTTCTTAAATCTGTTAAAGTTTTTTCTCGCGTCGATTTTTTATAACTACTTGACATTAGAAAAAGAAAACAACAACAATGAAAATCTAACCCTGGTTAAAGAAGCGTTAGATAATCACCTCAGATTCAACTTCTGTTCTACCAACTTGTTCAATTACAAATGCATAATGATAAATTCGGAGTTTGAATATTCTTATTTTTATTCAGCTCTCTTTAAAATATATCGAATAGATTTTATAGAAAAATATTTGACGCCGAATAAATTGCTCGAGAATGAAAGCGGGGCGGTGGTAGATGTGTTTTTAGAAAACTTAACTAAGTTTATTTTTTTTGTGAAGTTCTTTTGTCGTAGCAGTTCAGACATCAACAGATTATGTATCTTGTTGATGATCTTGTTTAAGTTTGAGGTCAACGAATTATACGAGACGCGCACTAAACAAACAGATTGGACTCACGAACCTGAACCGTTGGTAAAAACTAATGAACTAGTTAATGAAATCAAAACTTACAGATTACACAAATTGATTATTAAGCTCAATGAAAGTAATGTAAATGTAATCGAATTACTTGGCCAAGATACTTGTTACTGCGTTTATGAAAATCTATACCAATTAAAAAAAGATGGCCTAAACTTAAGTGATGGAAAAAACTCGTACTTAGAGTATTTAGTGAGCTTCACAAAAAATATATCCATTAAAGCGGAACAGTGGTACACTTTTATATGCTTATTACTCGCGTCTTTGCCAAATCAAAAAACGAGTTTTCCTATATTTGTTAATTTTCTTACTATTCTTGTGATCAAGCGCAATAGCTTGCTCACGATAGCTGACAATGCCAATTTTTGGATCAAAAATTACGAAGATTCAATTCTCAATTTGCTTTGTTCAAAAATAAACATCAACAAAGAACAAGAAAAAACAATAGAATTTTTTACTGTTTTGTTAAAAAAGCTGTCGTTGTTCAAAATACTCAGTAATCTGGTGTCTCATGAAGATGACCGTGTAAAAGTTGCACTAGTTTTATGTTGTAACAACTTAAGCTGTTTGCCTGACTTTTTCAAAAGTTATTTAAAAGTTGTTCTGAACGATAAAGAAATGATTCCTAAACTGAAAAATAAAATTTTAGAACACATCAATGCAGTGTTTATCCAGAATCAAAACCATTCAAATATAGATCTTGACTTGAATAAGATAATGATGCATTATGCTGAGCCACCGAGTTATTTTTACTAGCACTAAACAATGATATCTTTGCACGTTCTACGTACTGTTGAATCTCTCGTTCAAATTTCTCAATATTCGTGCTAAGTTCATGCAAAGAAATACACGTACTTGGGTCGAAGCTATCAATACTTCGGATATCTATTGGCACGGAAAGCTTTTTTGATGTAGGATGAACACTAAAAGGCAGTTTGAGCAAATGCTTAGAATCTTTTGATACATTAACGTCTAATCGAGGATACGTGCAATAAATTACCACTAGCTGTACAAAATTTTTAGGCATTGATTTAAAAATATCATTCCAAAGCATCAAATTAACATTGATTGATTCGTCATATTTCTGTGACAGTTTATATTTCGTTTGAAGCTGCGAGACCATTGCCTTCAAATCAAAATTGACTGATTGCTTTGCAAGGATACCGTTTAACTGGTTTAGCAATGATTCAGAATTAAAAATGTCTTGGTGTTTTACAATTTCTTCAAAGTCTTGAATTGCGATTTCATACACGTCATTCCAAAGTAACTTTGGTATGAATGCGTTGGTTTCAATTTTTGGAACAAGTGATATGTATGTCGTCACGGCTGCTCGAAGAGCATTGTCCATTTGGCCGGCTGTACGGTCAAACACCCAGAAGTGTAGTCCTCTGTTCCCCGAATAAACGATGAAAACTTCTGTGAATCCAAGATGTTCGGTCAACAATTTTACTAAAACCTTGGTGCAAATTTTCATCAACACCCAGCATTTTCCACAAATTGTCTTCCCTTTGCAACAAGTACGAACAATGTCATAGTCGTCAATATCAATATCAATAATAAATTCTCTGAAAAAAAATTCTGGGGTTCTGAGTGGCTGAGTCGAACTATGAGGGGATTTTGCAATTGGTCGATCGTAAGAAGCCCCTATGTCGATTCGATATGGAAGAGCTTCAAACTTAAAAATAGTTTTTTTGAAAGTGTCAATAGAGTCTATGTAAATCGGTCGAATACATTTAGAGCTCGACATAAACGGTATAAAAATTGCAATATCTCTGTTACTGCTAGGGTTTCCATCGGCTACCAACATCTTATATACAACATCATAGGGATAATGAGACTTATAATAGGTTTTTAAAAGCTCCTGGTCGTTAAAAAACTCGTTATCCATAATCTTTCAATAAAAAACTAATCTTGCTTTTTAGCAAGTCTTAGTTTTTACAAAAAATAATCACTATGTAAGAGTTAATTAATAAGCTATAAAATATCATTGACAATTTTGAATTAAATAAATTTATAGTTGATTTTTTTTTTTGATTTATTATAGTTTTTATATTCTTTGCCGTTCATGTCAAGGGACACTTGCAAATTCATTTGAGCTGAAAGAGGATGTGATTTTATACGGTTGTTCTTGTCAGCAATATTTTCTAGTCTTTTGAGCAGATTGCTCCCAATTTGACCAATTTTATCTAGAACAATCATGTTATCATCATCATCTGAATTTTCGTTATATTTGGTTCTGAGCGTTTTGTTTGTAATATTATAATCATAGTCGTTTAGGTTTTCTTTGTCAATTATATAGTTAAAGTTGTCACGGCTGTTAGAATTTTCTGTTATTCGATTGTTAGCACGATGAAGTAAAGAATGTTTTTGGGGTGTTTTAAGCTGTATTTTTCGATATAAGTCATTGTTTGCTGCACCTTCCGTGCAGTCTTCGGTTTTAATAAATGTTTTTTTTGGTTTGCTGTATTTTTTATAATCACAACGCGCAAACGAGTTAAGTTCTTGCTTTTTAGACAGTCTCTCCGATGTATCCCCTGTTCGTAAACGTTTATAACTACTATAATTACGCATCCTACGGCAGTAAAATGCTATAGAGTCGAGCTCGTTTTCGATACATTTGATTTTTTCTTTGTCGAGTGCAGAATACGTGCGAGTTAATGAATTCTGAAAAAGATTATCGTGTTCTTTCGTGAAGAGACGGGATATATTTCCTAATTTAACTCGAGTCGAACTTTTTTTTTTCTGTTCTTGCAGAGTACTGAGATCAATTAGACCTTTAACTAAAATGGGTAGGTCCATTGTCCCACCATCGTCATTTTTTTTTCTGAAATTTGTTTTATTAAAGCTTGTGATCGGTTTAATGTTATTATAATCTGATTGGAACAACCATTTGACGAATTTTTCAAACATATCTTATAAGGTTATTTTTACTTAAACGCATGTCTGTTAAATCAATGCATGCTTGATGTATTTAAGTTTATAGACACTTAATGGAATATTGTATTAGTTTTGTTATGCGTTGATTGACACTTTTGTAGTAGCAGGTTGGATTTATTATCCCGTTTTTGTTTTAAAATCTGCGAATATTTTCAAATAACGTATAAAGAAAAACTTTTAAAAATAGATTGGGCCTATGTTTTATATCGAAATGCAAATTATTTAAAGAAAATATTTTTTTTGTTTTACATCTGTGTTTTCACATAATGATTTAAAAAAAATTTAGTGTTGGCAAGGTTATTTGTCTAGAACTAAGTTAAGTTTTTTTTGTTATTTAAAACAAATGATCTACAAAATACAATTTAAGTGACTTATATTTATAAACAATAGAAATTAATGCTTAATCTGTAGCTGTGAATTAAATTATGCATATCGTATACCCATCTTCTTTTTGTTTAGATCATGACTATCTAAAAATTTGAAACTTAGACATGATTTGCAAAAATTTTTCAAAAATCAAAAATAATTATCAATAAGTAGTAAAAAACTTTTTTAATTAACAATGATGCTGATCTGTTTCTTTTTGACGTGACAAACATTAGTTTGTGTAAATATTTAAATGATAAACTGTCAATAAATAGTTCAGGAAAACTTAATAAAACATTTTTATTTTAAATATATTAATTATACAAAACAGTTAGATCAAACAATTTCGACTCACGTTAAAGTGCTTAAAAAACTTTTTCGTCAATTGTTTGAGTTGCGCAAGTTTTACTGTTTCTACAACTACTAGATGTCGTAAATAAACCGAAAAAAAGATGCTTCCAGAATAATGAGATAAAAAATTTTAGAATTGAAAAAAAAAAATTTGTACATCAAGGTTTATGTATCTGGGTTCGAAACTTAGTTATGTTAATAATAAAGTGACTGGAATGTCTAGTGATTTAATTTCTTAGTAGGTAATATTGAAATAATCAGAATTTATAGATGTTAAATACAATAAAAGGTGGGAAATTATCAAAAAATATTATCTATTTCAATCTATTATAGAAAAAAATTTAACAGAGAAGATTAAAAATCATTGATTTTTAATAGATAGCTAGCAAAATCAAAACATATTTTGATCATTTTAAGATAACATTAGTATTGATCTGTCTGAAAACATTGTTTGAAAAATTAAATGTATTTTAGACTTAAAATTGCAGCACGAATTTGAACGTACCTATTTGCTTCATGATTGTCAAATATAGAATTTGTTTTATGTTAATCTCCTTGTTTAATTTAGTGCTACGCGAACGAAATCAACGTGGTTGTCGGTTGTTAAAAAATATTAATAAAGTACTGATTCTTTATTTCCTACCGTTAAATCGGTATAAAATTACAAATTTAATGCATGTGAGCGCTGCTGGACTTAGAAATTCAGTAAGTTTTTCTTGAACAGCTGAAATCTGTTTTAGAATTTGTACGAATATGGAAACTTATCACCTGATCCAATTGAAGACAGTTTTCTTCACCGAAATAAAAACAGTTCTAGTTTGGAGCTTTCAAAGGCACCTATTTATAAAGAAAACATTGTATTTAACATTGGTAATGAAAAAAGTAATAAAGATGCTTTGACGGATAAAATTGGTCTTCCATCTGGTAAGCATGCTAAAAATAAAAACGGTGCTACCGACGAAAATAAAGATATACTTAGAGACAGTTTAATAACTGAATTGAACGATCCTTCGATGGGGAGGGCTGAATTTGAAGACAGTTCAGATGAAAGAAATAAGCTTCTACAGGAATTAGATCAATACTCGACGTACAAAAAACATGATCCGATAGACAGCAGCGTAAAAAACTTATTAAAGCCAATTAAGATTGATAATAATATTTTAAAAAGACCAGTAGATAAATCGCAATTTCCAGACTATTCTGTTGATTCTCAACAACTAGCCCAGGAGACAGATAGGATCAACGATGAGGTTAATGTACTTTTAAATGGTGATAAATTGGAACAAGCTAAAAAAAATATTGCCAGAGCAAAAGAAAGTTTAAATAAGTTAAAACATGTGGCCGCAAATGGAGTTTCACTTGAGAAACTAATAAATAAAAACTCTAATCATGAATCTGAGGAGGAGAGTGAAAAAAAAAATGATAAAAATAATGATACAATGTTTAAAAACAACAAATCAAATGATACAGATAAAGAACCTATAGAAGATGCTGAATAAGATGTTTTTTCAATAACACTAAAAAAATGATTCAATTCGTAACAACCAGAAAAATTCAAACGAAACCTAAAATTAAACTCATATGGTAAACACAGAAAAAATAAAACGAACGAAAGAATCGTGACGTCTCGTAATAATTGATGAATCGATTTATCAGCTGATTCCATAAACGTTGCGTTTAGTGTAACTCAATTATTATACAAAAAGGCTTAAACAAATGATCATATTTGAGCCAAATTGACTATATAAATGCGAGAAGAAAAAGTACTAGATGATTTTTTGGTTTGCAATATAATTGATCATTATTAGTACTTAAGACAATAAAAACTTAATAATTTCTGCAAGCCAAGATAAATAATATAAATTTATTATTAAAAATCTAAAACTAGTTATTACTAAAATTTGAATCTTCGTCTAGGTGAATTAGAAACAAATATTTGCAAATTGAGAAGATAATTATCTCGGGATTTAGATATTTAACAAAATCAACAGTTTTTCGTTAGATTGTTTAAATAATTTATAAGATGGGAGACACAATAACAGATAGAGTTCGAAAACGTAGATTCAACATTTATCAGTCTCATGCTTTGTTGCGAGAACAACTTTCAGAAAAACAAAAAAGATTACGACACGAAAAAATTAAAGAGTTAAATGATCGTTTCAATACTGGCGCGTTGTCTTTTACCGAAGATAAAGTGAACCGTAAAGTTTGTTCAAGTTTTGTATCTTACAGGGATGTGAGTCAATTTCCAGCGAACCTTGAAATGGGGAAACTATTTATTGACAATGCAGCTTACTCAATTTTAATCCCTTTCAAGCACAGACACGTACCATTTCACGTAAAACTAATTCAATCCGTAACAACAGCACAGGAAAATGGTTATTACATTTTAAAATTATCGTTTTTCAGCCAAATAAAACAAGAAGAAAATTCGTTGCTATTTCCCGAGTTCGATTACAGTACGTCGAATTTCATAATTACATCCATTCAGCTAACATCATCTAGCACGCCATTTTCAGATATAGTAAAACAAATTAAAAAGCTGCAAACTAGTTTTGAAAATAAAGATATTATTTCGGTCCAGGAATCGAACAGTAAAAATAAACTTGAGCTAATAAAGTTTGGCGAAAAACCGATGCTGAAAAACATATATATCAGGTCTGACGGATATTCTAATCGTAGAAATAAAGGTGTTCTTGAAGCTCATCTAAACGGGTTTAAATATATTATAGGTCGAACGTTAGAATTTGAAATTTTGTTTTCCAACATCGAAAATGGGTTTTATTATCCTTTGTCTAGTGAATTGATAGTGTTGCTGCATTTTTCCTTAAAAAATCCTATTGTCATCAACAATAAAAAAGTTACGATGGTTCAATTTTATTCAAATCTAGGGAATGTCATTGATTCAGTCGATGGCTTGCAAGAACGAAAATTTTTTTCTGAACAAGACGAATTATTAGAAGAAAGAAACGAGCGAAAACAAAGAGAATTAATAGCTACATCGTTCGATAATTTTTTAAAAGACATCTTAGAGCCTACGTCAAAACATTTCATGATTGAGATTCCCGATCAAAAGTTAGAGTTCAAAGGTGCTCCACTAAATAGCTTGATTAAAATAATGCCCACCAAAACGTCTTTAGTTTCTTTATCAGAATGTCCGCCCTTCATTTTGAAACTTGCAGATGTAGAACTAGTGTCGATGGAACGAGTAATACAAGGTATTCGAAATTTCGACATGGTTTTTGTGCCTCGCAATTATAAACAACCAGTTGTTACTATTTCGTCTATAGAAACCGTTTATCTAGACTCTATCAAGCAATGGTTGAACGATATGGATATCGTTTGGTATACAAGCAAAAACAATTTAAATTGGTCAAATATTTTGAAACAGATTCGTTCGGAAATATCAGAATTTGTTAAAATTGGTTCGTTCCATTCATTTTTGAATGATGAAGACAGTGGGCAAGATGATGAAGAAAATGAAGAGGATGATAATGACGACGAAACTTCTGATATCAGTTATAGTGAGAACGAAATAGATGACAGTGACGACAATTTTATTGAAGATGCTGTGTCAAGTGGTGAAGACATTGAGGACGAATTGGCTGATGATATAAACGAAGACTTAGAGGATGACGAAGGGTCTTTCATAGAAAGCGATTAATTCAACGATAATTATCGCAGTTTTAAATTGGCTGAGCTGAATAGGCATTAGCCGTCTAAGATATTTAATTTTTATGTCAATAATATAAAGGTTATTTTCTAACACATAGGTTAGCTAGTCAAAACGAACTTTCTTTAATCTTTGGAAATGGCACAAAATTATGCGGGAACGTTTAACTGTATTTGAAACCGTATAGAAAAATTTATTTTTCTGAAAATAGATACGCTTAGCGACATAATTTATTCTGTATCATGATACGAATATGTATTTGTTTAGTGAAACTGTGTATGTATTAATAGTTGCTGACTTCATCTGCATAGCATGAACAATTCATCAAATGTACGTTTGATGAATTGTTAAAAGAGTCTTCCCGATCAGTTTATTGCAGAGCGTGACGTGTTTAACACAATAATTCTTAGTTAGTTAAATTAAAATGAATTATTTTCTTGAAAAACTCAAGGTTTCGTGTTTATATAATGGCAGCTACTTTGCGAAATGTTGTTCAGATCGGCGTGGAAAATCGATGAGCAATCACGTAAAATCACATTAAGATTATATTTTAATATGAAATTTATTTCAACGGACAAAAATTAATAGTTTCGGCACCTGTGACATGTTTAGTGACAGTCGACTAATTTAATTTTAAAATATAGCAAAAAAAATTTCGTTTATTTGCGAAAATTAGACAAATTGATTTTAGGTTATTTTGAATTAGAATTATCAAAATCTGTTAAAAGTGTGAATAAATTAGTTCTAAGGCCCACGTTATAATCAATTTTAGATGAGTAATGGCAGTGACAAAGTTAGTACCCATGAGGAACTAATCAATAAGAGCTATAACGAAAAATATGCTGAGTTGACAATCTTTCTAAATTATTCCTCAGTATCAATTGAGAGAAGTGTTTTCGAAATCTATTACCAATACTTAATAGCCTCAGGATTTGACTATTTTGATAATATCAATTTGTACCAGGCTTATTTGGGTGTGAGATATCAATACTTATTTAGACACCTGTTGTTTTTAATTGAATTTGACTCTGAATTCCTAGATGTGCTAAGAAAACATTTGGCTGATCAGGAATACGAATTATTCAGAGAAAAATTAGACAATTCGTTTGTAAGTTCTGGTGAATCCTACGTTCCAAGTCTTAGCTATGATTTTATTTTGGACGTTTTAATCCATTTTTGTGGAAAATTAATTATCACTAAGTTTGGCAAAAAGAAAGTTGACACAAACAACCCTAACTTTTGCGTAGAACTTAAGTCTCCAAGTACTTATTCTAAATACTGTTATCAAGAGGTTTACACTCACGATGCAGAATTACTGAGCCTGTTTTGCGGTGCGTCGTCGAATTTTGCGGATGATTTTCAAGCCCTTTTAAAAGACAATTTCCAAAATATCAAAATAACCAAAAAACAAAACACCACAAAGTATGAAAAATTTATAAAAAGATCTTGCAAGGAACTCCAAAAAGCATTTTTAGTAAAACAGACTGCAAGTGGTTTTGACAGCGAGTTCACCGACTACTTGAAAGACTGGAACTATTCTGACTTGTTTAAAAACAGTTTTGACTATTCGTATTACTGTTTAGACAGTAGCTCTTTAACACGTCCAAATATGGTAAAAAAAACTATTTTAGCATATTTGAACGGGAACTTGAACGAGTTACTAGCGGGTATTGATTTTTTATGCACTGATAGTTTCAAGCTCAATGCTTACGTGATGCTATACTGTGTCTTGCATTGTTTCAGAGTAAATGTCGATGCCTTCTTGCAAATCGGTTCAGATTGCAAACTAATATCTTCCGGTTTACAAAGGATTTGTGTAAATGCTGTGAAAAAACTGCATAAATCTGGCGTTTTCGATGTTGGCTGCATACTAGAATTTTTCAAACAAAACTATTCTGATCTATCTACACTGCTACATTTTTTCAGCTTTTTAGTTGATACAAACCTCAATTTCTCGATATTAAACTCATCTTGTTGGATTAATGCCATCAGTGAGGATTGTCAATTGTCCATAAACAATGAGCAAGACCTATGTACAAACCAAGTTTGTAATTTGAGCATTATAATCAGACATTATTACAACACAATATTGTTGACTCCGTACATAAACCATTGGCTTTGCAACTCACTGGACAATCACGTTTTAATAGCTAGAGATCACAACCAGTTGTTGATGATGGACAGTGACTTGCACAGCTTAGTGACAAATTTTACTTTGGTCACGGTCGACGATCATACTGCGAAATTTTTTGTGGTGTTTTTCAATTTTTACACCCGTGTAATAAACTATTTCTTGATCAGAAGTTTTAAGTTCGAGCTGAATTTTTTTAGTCAAGTCAACAAATGGCTGAAAATAAAACCACTAGTGAATAAATCCTACTCTGTATCCTGGTTCGACGTAATATCTTGCATTTATGCGTTTTCATCATTGGATGATGCCACTTACTCGTCTAATTTGATGATAACTAATGTTATTGATGGGCTAATTTCAACATCGACCGTAGACATAAATGTAGTAGAAATGTTTGTTGAATACGTCACATTAAAGACGACTCAGACAAATAAATACTTCAAGGTATTAAAAGAAAAATTAACGTGTATTGAAACTTCTAAACTAAGTCCAAATGACCACTACGCGCTTCCGGCTTTTGTTTTTTTTGACATGAGTTTTTTTGCTGTCAATATGTATAACACTGTTCAGTTAATTACCACATTACTGGATGTGATACTGCAATTTTACTGTTCCGAAAACAGTCTACATTTGATCGAGGTTCATCCCGTTTCCAAGAATTTGACAAAGCAAGATTATGCTCGTAGCGTAGTTGACAAAGTGTTAACTACCACTTTACACGCTATAAATACATTTTATTTTTACTCTGAAGGGTTTTTGTCGCAATTCAAAATGGTACAGGAAGAGGTATTAAAACAGATAAGCGTAAGTCCGCTGACTGAGGGTCAAGCTAAATCGCTTTTGCTTGGTAATTACTTATTGTCTGAGTACCATTCGCCGTACTATTTGTATAGCACATATTCTCGTTTACTCATCAACTCAAAATCAGTATGTTTTCACAATTGTTTTAAGAGTTTTGTTTTCATCACTCCATCACAGATAACGAATTTGGACTGTACAAAAACTTTGCTTCATCTGTTCAGGCTTGTAAACAAGTACTACGCATTCGACCCTAGAAATACTTCGAAGCAATTTGCTAATGAATTCGAACTAACTTCATTATCCTTTAACGAGTTTATCCGAAGAACTAAATTAGTGACGAATGCACTCGTTGAAGCACTTAATGAGCAAAAAACAGTCGAGCTAGAAAATTTGACCAGGGAGTTTAGTGCTTTATTTATTGTTTTAATGCTAAAATCGGTTGATTTTATAACTATAAACAACTCTTCTTTGGAAGAATTGTCTGAGAATTTCATGCTGCTCGGAAAGACTATTTCAGATTCAAATGTAATATCTCATGATAAATACAATCTTTACATTATCCTTTCTTTTGTAAGAGTTCAACTGACTACGTTTTTGGAACATATCAAGAACGAGTCCTTGAATTCAAATAACGATATCAACAATTTGAAAAATTTAATTAAAAAATGTGTAGCAAAAGCGAAGTGTAAATAAAAAAATAATGTAGGAGAAAATCTCCAGGAAGTGTTTCTTAAACACTCTCAGTTTCTAGCGACAAAGAATGTCGAGGCATGACGAACCAACGTCTGGTGTGTTAACACTAGATAGAAACCAGTAAGAACTAGTGTTAAATCATAACCTGCATGTTTAGGGTTTAGTTCTCTCGGAATGGTGAGCAAGTATAAAACTCTTGACTTGATAGTCCAAGTCAAAAATTTAAATTTAATTATATTTTATTTTACACTTTGTTTTATGCGTTAACGAGCGTAGCGTTTTCAATCTTGGGTTGGCTTCTTTGGAAAATTTCAAGCTGAAGAAAAAGCTTGTAATCTACGTCTATTAATTTTAATTTTTGAATTTCATCCTGATGCGTCTACGTGATTTATAATACTAACTATACAGCACACAGAAAATGAATTATTCTTTTTTAATTAGATTAACGGTCAATTAATCAATGAGCAAGACACGCGTATTTAGCTTTCATGGGATAGGATTTGACCCATCTGTTTTCACAACTAAACGATGGATAAAACAAGCAAATACTTCTTTCTCATTTGACCATGAGTTAAGAAAGAAAAATATCGAGCACACCAGTGTGGCTCTTAGAGGCGACATAGATCCTAGTTTTTTAGACAAAGGGATTAATTTTGAGGAAGAAGCTAACTTTGTTTTAGAAAAGTATCCAAATATCCGTCAGCCAATCAATAACGGTGACAAGTTAGTGTTCCTTTCGCATAGTGGCGGGTTGATTTTGGCATTGGAAGTTTGCAAGTTGCTAAAATCGAAAAATTACGCCACGCCAAACTTGTTGATCTTGGTCACACCTTTTGACGCTACACTTCCCAGTTCAATGAGGCCATGGAAACCTATAACGCTAGAAACCGAGTATGACGAGGTTTTGGAAGAAGTTTTGCGCTTTGGAGAAAACGATAGCTTGAAGAACCCCGAAATCTGGAACGAATTTAAAAAAAAAATCCGGTGGCATTTCAACGGTTTGACCAGATATATGCTGGAAAAACCTTTGAACCTAGAACAAGTGAGAATTTACTGCGTATACTGCGCCAATGATGCAGTCATATCGAAGAATCACGCGCTAGCCGTCAAAAATTGTTTTAGTGCATATAAGTCTTTTGAATACTTAGATTTGCCAAACGCCGGTCACAATTTCATAATTAACCCGTTGGTTCTCAAACAATTTTGCGATTCGATTTTGCCCATTATTTCTATGCTTTAAAAGTAAACTTATGTATATATAATCTATACTAATGCTTCATATTCATTAAATGATAAAAACTAGGGTTAAAGTAATTTACTGCTAATTATTTTATAGTAAATTTTTTATTGAATTGAAAAATTGTTT